GAGGAGACTATGATTCACCTAGGGCCTGTGGATTGTAGCAATAAGCGAAAGGATCCCGAGAGCAGAAATGATCATTAGGGGAAAGTTTTTTTAATGGATGAGATTAAGTGTGATTATGGAGAAAGTATTTAGTGAACATGGTCCATGATATTCAACATATATAAAATTATTGGAACTAGAATGCAAGCCTAGAGGGAGGGGGGGAGAAGGGGGAGGGATGGGGTGAATAGAATTATACAGTTTAAAACTAAGTAGCACAAGAATACACAAGAATTATAGTGTTTCAGATCAAAATTTTAGGTCCATTCTTCATTCTCGTGAAGGGCCTTCCTTACTATGACCGAAGTTCACTTGAATCACAACACGGTTCAGTAGACTTTAAAGACTGAACCCTGAAATCTATCTGAAACCAATCATCTAACCTAACTATTCATAATGACTAAAAGAAATCTAGCCCTAACTAGCCTAATCCTCAATTACCCCAGATTGAGCACACCATTAAACTCACAACTTTGAAATACAACCAAGCATAAATAATTAAAGAGCAAAAAATGATCTTACATTCCTTTATCAAACCGTTCTTCAAATCAGTGTAAACGAAGATCCATGAAGAATCGGTGTAGCGATATAAGCGTAAGACACTCCTTTTCGCTGAATCAAACTCTGATAAAAAGCTCGCCGAGTAGGGGATTTGATCAAGTTTCTCTCAAACCCTAGAATAAAAATATCTCCTTTTGTGTTTTTGCCTCTTTGAACTTTGTTGTTAATTATGATCTCCAACTCCCCTTAAATAGACCTTGATAGGATAGGAAAAAGATACCCAAATCTGAGTGTAAATAGTAGATCAAATGGGTCAACAAATGACTGAGATTAAATCCCAAAAAACTGCCAAATTTTGTCATAACCATTGATGGTGGATCACAAACATTGATGGTTCAACTGTAGCCATCGATGGTGTTGATTCTGACTTCTAGATTTCTTTAATTATCTCCTATAACTATCAATGATTTCCTATAATCAATCGATGGGTCATTGTAGACCATCGATGACGCCAATTCTTATTTCTATTTTTCTTTGATTAGCTCCTGTAACTATTAATGAGATGCTGACAATCAATGGTTGCTTTTTAACCATCGATGGTTCGAAGGTTGAAATCAACCTTCGAGTTGATTTTTGCATTGTTTCACACTACATCTTGCTCGTACCTATATATGCTTGAAATACATCCTCTCACAAAACATAACAATAGTAAATGAGAGTTTGTTATTATTGATGTTAAGTGATCACACTATCAATAATATTCGCGGTTGGATAGGGGTGCAGTTGATGAGGGTCGCTTCCTTCCCTGAATATCCGATTTTGGGTTAGGTTGCTAAAAAGCCTACACATATAAAAATACGTGAGAGGACGGAGACCGGTTACCCCGTGCTTCCTCCGACGATCACGTCAGCTAGTGAACTTGAGTGGAGTAAATAAAGAATTGTGATAGTTCTTGTGTGTGCAATATACTTTGCAAATTATTCTGAGAAGATTAGATCTTTAGATCAAATAGTCAGGAATCAGAGATCAAGATCCAGATTAGGTAGTTTCTCTCCCTAAATGAAAGAATAGTACCTCTTATTTATAGTGGTTCCCAAAGGGCAGAACTGTTATTGTGGCCGAGCACAGGATGGCGGTGAAAAAATATAGGCTGACGGATGAGTCAACACTTACTTTATAGGTATCGGTTGGCGACTGGAAGAGATATCACCTCAACATTAAATAGGAAGTGATCAGAGGCATGACAGTGCTGATGTGGTCCGATGAGTCATGAAGACTATCGGGGCTAGAGGTATGATGGCGCCTGCCAAGCCTCAACTGTGATGCTGACACGTTGCTAGTGGGAAGATTTCGAGGCCGAAGTCCTTTAGCTTGGCAGAGAAGTAACGCCTTTTGAGTCGTCATCGGAAGACATCAAGTCAGCTGGTCGTATGGACTCACTGTGAGTCGTCTTTGACAAGAGGGGTGATAAGTACCGCCTTTCTAGTCGGTACGAGGGAATGTTGACTCAGCTAGTCGACTGAGTTGTCATCCTTGTTGGTCTTCGACCGCCAACTTAATTGGAGCATTGCATGCAGATGTACATCTATCCGTTGCTGACAAAGGGTCGTACTTAGGTGATTGAGAACACCATAACAGTTGGCCGTTTTCGCTTGGAGTCAGCTTTAGCCGGGTCAGGGTGAAATAAGAATTGCTTTGGACGGATGTGAGTGCTTTAAATGTGAGAACTGAAAAGTCCCTTCGAATTGACGTGGCTGATGTCACTGCACGTTCTTTTCGACTGTCACAGTTCCGCTTTCCCTGGCATATTGCGGGCTACTCGAGGTGAGCAGGTTATGTCTCAATCCATGAGATGTCGCTTCGAATTCTAAAAATCAATCTCAGTCTAGGTTTTAGTAGTTGTAAAGTCATCTGCCTATATATAAGACCAAGGGCTTGAGGGAGGTGATTATTGCCTTTTGAAATTCCCTCTAGAGAACTCAGAACTTTTCCACTCATCTCTTCTGGCAATCATCTCTGCAATCTCTGATGACATCTGAGCATATGGATCGTCGAGCTCTCCTAGTGGGGATCCATTCCAAGGTGACGCAGTCCTAGATGAGGATGCTCTCTAGGAGGTTTGACATCCCCAAGGCATATGATCTGATGGTCCCGACGAGGTCGGAGGTCATCTATGATCATGGACAGGAGCGGAATCCACTTTGCTTGAGGCACTTAGAGTTTGGTCTTCGGCTACCCCTACATCCTCCTCAAACAAGTGTTCACAGTGCTAGGGGTTTCACCAGTGCAGATGAAGCCGAACACCATCGTCATCTTGGTGGGGTTCGTAGTGATCTACTACTGGTTGGTGATCAAGCCATCTCTACGGGTCTTGGGTCGGCTGGTGGTTGTAAAGGTGAACCAGATGGAACCCCACTTTCATTTTCAAATGGTGGGGAAGTTTAGGCTCATCGCCGGTCTTCCAGACTCTCACAAGGACTGGAAGGAAAAATTTGTTTGAGTCGTGGGAGACGACTTTTAGTTGGGCTACTCCAATTGGCCTGAAATGAGAAGGGAGACGCTCATGGAGGGCGAGCTGACCATCATCGAGAGAGATGCATTTGACTAGATCAAGGCATATGTTTTCGTCGAAAGTTGCCTTCATCATTGATTTCATTAAACTTCAAACGTTACAAATGAATTCAAACAACAAAGAAATAATAAAAAAGATTACAACTTTCTTGAAAATAAACACAAGATCCGTTCGTCGTCTCTTGCTTGCGTGGGTCTTTAGCCTGTGACGGGGACATCGATATCCGTGGACTACCTGGCAATCAGATCTGATCCAGAGCTTCGTCGATCTGCGAGGAGATCTAGAAACTTGAAGCCCCTATCTCGATAAAAGCGAGATATTTGCTCTTCTTAGTATTACCACAACGAGATAATACTAAGGATCAGGTATGGGTGATGTAGATCTGACGAAGAAACTCTCTTGCGTTGAAGTGCTCGATCACTCTTCACTCTGGCAGGGCTTCGCCGATTCTCCAAAATTCCAGATCTGAAAAAATGAGGCCTAAGACTTGTATTTATAGGCATGAGGGGTTGCGGGGCGGTTAAAACCACTTAAAGGGCCCAAATCCGCGCTGAGACACCCTAGGGGTGTCTTGGCTTGGCCGAGACACCCTTGGGGTGTCTTGACTTGGCTGAGACACCGTAGGTGCCTCAGTTCAGCTTTGAGACGTTTTCGCTGTAACTTCTTTGTCTGAACCCGGATCTGAGTGATTCCAAATGCGTTGGAAAGCTGACAAGGAGTTCTATCAGCTCCGATGAGAATTCTATCAGTTCCAATGGTTAGATTATCTGTAGAATGAACAAGACACGAAGGGCGTTGTTCCTTTTATAAACATCGCGGGGTTCTCGATTAGCCTGTGTCTTCGTTATTCCGAAATCCTATCAGCTCACGTAGTTCGTCGGTTCACTTCAAGCATTCACCGACATCAGTCGAACTCCTGTGAACCAGATAGTGATGTTCATTGTCGTCTTTCTCACGTGGTTCGGTAAGTTGCCTACATCCACATGGTAAGGAGGGGGGTTCTTACTATTAAAAATCAAGAGAATACAAATAGGGTTACAAATCTCACCAATAAACCCTAGAACAAAACTCTCTAGATCTCTCACAAATCCTCCCACAAAGGATGCACAATACTCTCTCAGCGGTCTGCTCAAATCGCCCTTGCTTAACCCTAACTAATTAGGTTTAGGGTTATATACCAACTCAAAACGAAACGGGTCAGAAAACCAACCCAGACTCATACTGGGACTGGGGCGCTTACGACGCAAATTCGTCGCGGGTCGACTGCAATAGAACGACAGAAATAAAATCGCCTACAAGGTTTGGCGGTCGACTGCTGCGGTCGACCGAACTGTGACGGTTGACCGTGGCGGTCGACCGTCTCCAAACCCAAAACGTGCCTTCGACCTGTGCACGTTTCCGGTCGAGCGCAGCTAACTCGTGGTCGACCGGATAGCCTAAAACATGTTTTCTGCCTGTTTTCCTGAGTTGTTCTTCGTCATGTTCGCCACTTCTAAAAAAACATTATTGCATCATGGGGGCTACACTAATTTGAACAGGGACATGTCCTATATATGTCCCTAAATAACCACCATAATTTATTTATTTATTTATTTTGATAGAATAACCGCCATATTGTATAAGTCTGCAAATTTTAGATTAAAGAATCTCCACCCTCATAACAAACCCTAGGCAATGCGTTTCAAAGGAAGGAAGGGCCCAAGAAGCAACATTCCAGGATGTAGGGTCACTGTCTCTTTGTCCTTAACCCATACAACATTTTCTCACATGAATAAATATATCTCTCCATCAACCTCAACGTCAGACTCTTCCCCAGTTGCCACATTATTTCTTTTTCATCTTTAACGGGTCCCATTCTCAATCTCAATCCAACCCTTTGAGGTCCATACCCATTCCCTGGCTCCTTATTTAGCAGCAATTTAGTGCTTCTCTCTATTGTTTGCTCTCTTTCTTATTGAGCCAAGCTTCTCTTCTCCTTCTCCTTCTTCTATCACGATATCATGTCAGAGAAAAATAGAAAGGGAGAGGTAGCGAGAGTTCTCTTTCACTTCGATCACACATATACAAATACATACACATACACAAACACACAAATAGTTTTTTTACCGCTAATTGTTTGTGTTTTTATAGGTGATGTGGCCGAGATTGGTTGCAAACAAGCTATTTCGAAGGCCATTATGGAGTACTAATTTCGTCGCAGATTTTCCAAGCTCGGAGATATGGTTAGAGGAACCAAGCTTAGACCATGAAGCCATCGTCTTGAGAAACTGTGATAGTAAATTAGAGACGCATAGCTACAAGTGAGTAGCTAAATAAATTAATTGGTTCTTAATGATTGTCCCTATAAATTTGTTACTAATTAAGTAGTAGTAATTATCTTTTGTTTTGTGTTTTAAGATTGTTTGCTAGTACATGGAATGTTGGTGGCATCCCGCCATCAGATACTCTCAACTTGGAGGATTGGCTCGATACAAAGAATAACTCCTATGACATCTACGTTCTTGGGTAAGTATATTAACCAAATTAGCTTGAAAAAAAAACTCTTTATTTTTATGTTAATGAATATATTGATAACACTTTTTTCTTGCAGTTTCCAAGAAATTGTGCCCCTGAAAGCCAAGAATGTACTTGGACCAGAAAAGAATAAATCCTCTGCTAAATGGAATTCTCTAATTAGGTCAACCCTTAACGAGTCGACATACAATTCAAAGGAGCTCAAGGCCGGAGATATAGATAAACAAAAAGTGCATCCTGTCAAGGAATCAAATTCAAAGGATAATATCGATCAAGCTTTTCGATGCATCATGAGCAAACAAATGGTAGGAATATCAATCTCCGTTTGGGTGAGAAGCGATCTCTTGCGTTACATTAAACACCCAAGTGTATCTTGTGTTGGTTGTGGCATCATGGGATGCCTAGGAAATAAGGTAATTATTTTAATTAAGTTAACATAAATTATTTAATTGATAATATATATTTGATTAATTTAGTAGCCTAATATTGTTTACAGGGTTCAGTATCAGTTAGATTTTTCTTACATGAAACAAGCTTCTGCTTCATCTGTTGCCATTTAGCTTCGGGAGAGAAAGAAGGAGATGAGATGAATCGAAATTGCAATGCAATGGATATTTTTTCTCGAACGAGTTTTCCTTGTGGTCCTTCTCTTAATTTGCCCCAAAAAATTCTGGAACATGAGTGAGTAGATGACCATCATCTTCTTAATTGATATTAATTTTTAATTGCAACTTTTTCGTTGAATATTTGGACAGTAGATATTTTTCTTGTCAATATCCATATGAAACAAGATAGTTTCACCTTTATCTTTCTATATATGAACACTTTTTATGAAAGTTAATTGTACTGAGTACAGTTGTAATTACTATTAAATCATGTCTTTAAAAGGTCGGTGCCGTCTAACTACTAATTTAGATCATAGTTTATATATTCTCATGACAAAACAAATCTTTCTTATGGTCTAAAAACTATATGGGTTTTTCTATTTATTCAAGTGGACCAAAGATAGAAAGTGATGGATTCATGTTCCTACATAGAAACGTGAACCTCCTATTCAAAGAATCATTACTTATTAATGTAGATTGGATCGAATCAACTATAACTTAATCAAATTATAAACTATAAATCCACTTGAAAATATCTATGCATAGGCGATGGTATCTAATTGGTATGCGGCTAGTAACAAAATCAACAATCATTAATTATTTTTAATTTATCACGTACAAACCATGCAAGTTGCGACTAAAGACTAATGAGCTCTACACGTCAATCTCTACCTAATCATTTTCCTGTATTGAAAATTTCATGCAGCCGAATCATCTTGCTCGGAGACCTAAACTATAGAATCTCTTTGCCAGAGGCCGAGACAAGATTGCGAGTAGAACGAAAGGAATGGGAAATCTTGTTACAGAAAGATCAAGTATCCATTCAATCCTTACTTTTCAGTTTTGTAAACCCATTCATTAACTGGTAAAATTCTAGTAAGTCTTGTGACTCAATCTTTTAGTTGTACCGTGTAGTTGCGAGGAGAGGTATCAGCTGGTCGAGCTTTTGAGGGTTGGCATGAAGGTGCTATAGAATTCACTCCCACATACAAGTACTATCCAAACTCGGATGACTACTATGGATGTCTTCCAAGCAAAAAGGGGGAGAAGAAGCGTGCACCCGCATGGTATATATATGTTGGATTTTTTTGTCAAAACCGCTTTTCAAAATGAGTTTTTAAAAAAAAAATAAAAAATATATATATATATATATTAATTACAAATATTTTTCATAAATGCTTAGTAGCCTAGTGGAAAGTTAATGTTTCGGTGTTTCAAAATATCCTCTGTTCGAGGCTTGCCAATGGCAAACCGAGATGTGTTTTATTTTAATTAATCCCTCATAAGTTCTAGTGGGATGTGGGCCGTGGGCTCGTGGTCCGTGGACCAATGGGCCGGGGATCGGGGCTAATCGGACTGAGACGCTAAGTGATGCTTTGTTAGACGCACTTTGCACTTCACACGGAGGCATCGGGGCTAGGTGGTGCCACGTTGGCTGCCACTATGGTCGCCACGAAGGTTGCCTCGCAGGCTGCTTCGCAGCATGAGGATGAGCTGCACATTTGTACAAGGGTGTGACCCTAATATTCTCGAAATCAGTCGAGGTTCGTCGAGGTTCGTCTGATTCACAAGATCATACGAGGTTCGCTCGTAAAATAAGGTTCGCCTGTTTGCCGAGGTTCGCTCGTCAAACGAGTTTCGTCCGTTCGACGAGGTTCGCATGTTTGACGAGGTTCGCTCTTCGACGAGGTTCGTCTGTTCGACGAGGTTCGCCCGTTCGACGAGGTTCATCCTACAGACGATGTTCGTCTGATTTGCTGAGACGTGACCCTCGCGGTTCGTAGTAATGCATCCATTAATTACCTCGTATTTAGGAGTTACTGCATGCAGCAGTTGCAACAGGATTTAGAGCAATTTAATGCATTAATATTACAATCATAATTATCATTGTGAATTATAACAGTCGCATTAATTGAGGGTGACTCTTAAGCTGGTCTTAGAGGCCTATAAATGGCGCCCTTTGGGCAGCTCTTGTAATTTGCTAGAGAACTTGGAATAAGAACATCGGATCAAGGAGATCTTGACGTTGTTGTTGTTGTGCTGCTGCTGCAGAAACTGTGCACGCATGAACTTGCCCTAAAACCGAAAAGTTTTGAACCGAAAGGTTTTGAACCGAAACGTTTTAAGATCGAGGAGATATTTACCTTGACCGAAAGGTCTTATAGATCGAGGAGATCTTAACAGTACTGTGTTGGTGCACACCAGAGTACTGTACTGCTGTTCCTATAAGCAGTTTGGCCTTAGGATCCTTACACCGGAGTAGGCCAAACACTGCTTTAAGCACAACGTTTCACAAACACACAGCAGTGAAATGAAAAAGTTTAAAATTACAGCACATTAAAATTTCTCTGTTTCATTCCAGATTTAACAACAATTTCCAACAATATATATATTCAAAAGAATAATTATTTGCAGACACATTAATTCTGTGTATTATTTGGATATTACCATTTATAGTGTATATTCAAATATGCAATCAATATTTCTCGAGCTCTCTTGATCTAAATTTTAAGTGTTTTATATAGGTGTGATCGAATACTTTGGCAGGGCAAGGGATTGAAACAAATTCTCTACGACCGCTACGAGTGCAAACTATCAGACCATAGACCGGTACGAGCCAGCCATATTTGAGGTTAAGGTCGAGGCTTTGAAGATGAAGTACTCATTGAGGAGCTTCTTCTTGTCCGATAGATTTGATCACATACCCTTGGACTTGTTAAATGAACAAATCTCGGGTAGTAATGGAAGATTAAGCGTACAAATTTAGGGAGTTGAATTGTGAGCTCATCGTGTTTGGGCTTGTAGAGACAATATATATACGGACACAAGGGAACTTTTTTTTTTGGGGGGGTTAAAACTTACGTTGATATATATTTTGATAGTGAGTAATATGAATCTTATTTTTGCGTGGGATTGATGTTTATAGATTTAGTAATTTGATACCCTTAGGTAGGGGGAACAGTTGTATTGCATTAATATTCCGCATTCGGTGGGACTGGGATCAGAGGAAGCGGAGCAAATCTTGATAGAAAAAGGCCGCGGCCTTCACTTATTGGTCTATTTTAAGCTGCGGGCCTTCTTGTCGCTTTCTAAGTCCATGTCACCCACTGTTATTTAAAACTCAAGTGGCTCAAATTATGGCTTACGCTGGAGTGATCATATGGTATTAACGGTCCACTGAAGAGATATCTATTCTTGAATCACATAACTTTAGGATCATTTTTTTTTATTATTTTAAGCACATATACAGCTCTATTGATGCACGCTACACTAGATGCCTTGTCCCTTCTTCCTTCCCTATGGATGTTGAGTACAGGGAGATTTAAGAGAACATGATAATATTATTCATTACATTGAGGAGTTTATATACAAAAGTAAGTGGAGAGGTTCTGGTAACCTAAGTAATGTGGGTCTAAAATAAAGCAAAATAAGATATTGCCTAACTACTATATTTAACATCTCCTCTCAAACTGTATTTGGGTTCTAAAGACAGTTTGCAAAGAAGGAGAGCGTAGTGTTTAAAAGACCCTAATGACACTAGCTAGGAAGTGCTAAGATACTAATGGAAAGCACCCTAGAGGAGGGATGAATAGGGTTTATGCTAATCTAATCCGATTTTATGCCAATTAAAACTAATTAACAAATTTTTCTAGCAAATAAGATATGCAACAATTATATGCAAGGATATTCAATATAAACAAAGGGTACATAAAATAAACAAATATAAACAATATAGTGGACAAACTAAATAACAAGGCAATGGCGATATAAGCAATGAGCACAAATATAAAATGAACGTCAAAGCAAACTCAAACACAATCAAATGATCACGGAGTTCGGACATTTCGTCCTACTTCTCCGCTCCCCACTCCCGGGGAGAATCCACTACACAACCGGGTTTTCAACGCTCACCTGAATAACGTTTACACCCCACACTCGGTTTTTTAGTTCACCGAAAACTTTACAATCACTCACAATGTAAACACACTAACTACCACATCAAGTGTTGGTCTCTAGCCCGTGTCTCCCTCAAGTGCTCGGAATTACTACCTCTCTCTAGGCTTTACTATCGACACCACTCCTCTTGGGACAACCCGTCTCTCACCACACACTCCTCTTAGTGTACTAGTGTAATACAAAGTGAACCTCATAATTTAGCTCACTAATAACAAATGATTTGTACTCTAACAAGATGATAACTCAATTAAGCTCACTCTCAATGTCACAAACCCACAACCTCAAATTATACTATGTATGAAATAATATAAGCTCAATAGGTTGTGTGTGAACAATGAGAAGTAAAAACAAACTAAACTCAATATGAAAATCTAGCTTATGGAAATGAAAATCAAACTTGTAAATTGTTAGAAATTGAGTTTAGAAAAGTTCTCCATAGATCATGAGAGAGAGAGAGAGAGAGAGAGAGAGAGAGAGAGAGAGATGAGTTGAAGCTCAAACACCAAAGAATGATCTCTTCTTCCTTTTGTGAAAATCTCTTCACGAAACTAAACTTGTAAAAACCCTCTTAAACAAACAAAAACACCCTTAAACTTGTTTAAAACCTTTCTTGATCAATTTAGAACTGAGAATATGTGGGGGTATTTATAGGAAACCCCAAAGCCAAGAAGAAACCAACAAAACCCAGTAAAAAGACAAAAAACGGAAAGCTAAAAAAACTAGTCGTTGGGCCGTCAGTCGGCTGATATTGTTCATCAATCAACTGATGAGCTGACCGTTACAGGCCAGCAACACATCTTCAGTCGACTGATGAACTCGTCAGTCGACCAATGACCTCATCAGTTTACTGGTCAGTCGACCGAATAAGAAACAGAAACTATTGGCTATTCCAGGCGATTTCTTCAGTCGACTGATAACATAATATCAGCCTATTTTAAATAGTAAAACTAATTTTTGAAGTGCTTTTAAAAATAGCAAATAAATTCCAAAAAATATAAAACTTTGGAAAATATTTATAAACATGTTAATGAACATATTATAAAAATAATTTTTAGAATTAAACTTCTCATTTTGTGAAAACTCATCATTTTTCAAAATTAGTCTAAAACATGAAAATACAACAACACTTGTTTTGTCATTTTGACTAAATCATGTTTTGAAAACTCTTGTATGACTTTATAGACTTGATAAAAGGTATAACCTATTGTTCTAAAGTCTATAACCCAAAAACACAATATATTTCTAAATATAATAGAATATGAAACATATGAATGTGTATATGAATATAAATTTGTTTCATATCTATATAACTAAACCAAAACAACTTAACCATATGAGAATAAACATGTATATATATAAATAAATATTTGTTTCATATTTAAACTTGAAAATAAAAAATCAAAACTTGTGTGTGTGTGTGTGTGTGTGATATATATATATATATATATAAACCAAATATGTGTGTGTGTGTGTGTGTGTATGAGCTTAAAGTATCAACACACATAATATAAAACCTAAAACTAAATTATCCAAGCTTGTGATCTTCAATGATGCTTTTCTTGGTAAACTTTACGGATGAAGCTTGAACTTGGATCATGTCTTAAATTACAAGGCTTCATTCCACTATTTCGCCAACCTCCATTGGATATGATCATGAAAGCTCGATTTTATCCATCCTCCAACATATTATTTGTCTACAATAAATAAATAAATACAAGCACTAGACAAACAACATTAGTAGTAAATTATTTGTTAAAACATCATCAAAACAAAAAGGCCAACAGTGTTGTCCAGTGAGAGCTTGGATAGAGACAGTGAGGGTGTAGCTCTCTGGTGAGAGCTTGGATAGGGAGAGTTTGGCCGGAAGTGTTGGCCAAGAGAAGCTTTGCTAAAGGAGCTTGGTTGGGGGTGTTGGCTGAGGGAAAGCATGGCTAAAGGAGTTGGCTGAGAGAAGTTTGGCTAAAGGAGCTTGGCCGGGGGTGTTGGCCGAGGGAAAGATATGACAATGGATGCTATCTAGGGGGAAGCGTGGCCGAGAGTGTTGGCCGAGGGAAAAACTTCTTATTATCAATAGTCTTTATTGTTGACGCCTCCTTTTATGTAAGAGGTATGAGTGCAATTTGACGTCCATTATTTTTGAAGATATAAGCGTTGTCTTTACTCCTATGGGTAGCACCAATATCGGATTTCCATGACCTACCTAAAAGCACATAACAAGTATTCATCTCGACCATATCACACAACACCTTGTCGACATAGTTGCAGCCGATAGAAAAAGGTACCCAACACACCTAATCGATTTGCACATCATTACACTTACAAATCCAACCAATCTTGTAGAGAGTAGAGTGTTTCTGTATCTTCAAACATAATTTCTCCACCATACGATGAGAGACAATATTCTCTCTATTGCCACAATCAATGGTAACATCACAAGTTTTCTGCATCATGGTACATCTCGTGTAGAAGATACTATGCTTCTGCATCACAAGTAACCATCCATTTGGAAAGGATGGTTACTCATAATTGAGAAGACCTTCCAAAAATTATTACTTTGTTACAATTAATAAAAGAATTTTTTCACATCTTCATATTTTTCTTTTCTTCTCTTTATTTGATGATGAAGATGAAGACAAAGATGAATGTTTGCTTTGAAGAGGCTAGAACCCTCATGTAATGTAAATTTTCCCTTTTACCTTTTATTTTCTTGTAATATTTTCTTTTCTTATTTTAGATATTTAATGGGCTAGAACCCTCTTGTTTTATATTTATTTTGATGCCATGTAGAGTAGATTTACTTTCATTTGCATTATTTTCTTGTTTTTTTATTTGGTAGTATAGATTTATATTCTTACATAGTTTAGATTTCATTTTATATTCTTTTCTTTTGTTCATAGTTTAGATCTTTAATCTTTGTTTTTATTTTTCTCTTTGTAGTTAGTTCTTATTTTCATTCTCTTTCTTTTATTCTCTCTATTCTAGATTCTATTGCTTTATTTTTATTTTCTAAGAGGTGGAACTAATTATTGTAGGAATTCTAGAATTGCAAAAAATTAGTTTAATTTCTTTTATAATTTATGAATTATTCTCTTGTGCTTAAAATGATCATGTTTAGGGTAATCAACTAGAGATCGAACTAATTGGTAGAAGAATAAGTTAATAATCTATGCTTATCTTGAGTGATTTGATAGGTTACGCTTATGAATTGTAAAATTAATATCTAGTTGTTATTATTTTTATGAATGTTAATCTTACTTGGATGATAATTTGATAGGTTATGATTTACTTAAGTGGTTTGATAATCTATGCTTAATAAATCTTTAGTAAATTGTAGTAAAAAGAGAATAGTGCATAATTTCTAAGTGAAATTGACTAGTGAATTCAATTCTAGATTCTTCATATCTCTAATTAAATCCTCAATCTTTTACTTTCTTGATTTTCCTCTTTATTCTTAATTTTTTATGTATTTCTTGATTTTTTTTCCCTCTAATTCTTCATCTTTCTTTCTCCCCTATTAATCTATTTTTGTTTTATTTGCACAACTACTCTCTTTATCTTTCCACAACCACTTCTATCTCTCCTAATTATCATGCGTACAACTTAAAAACTAATTTTGATTATCTCCTACAATACATTCCTTGTGGGATCGATTTTTATACTATAATTTGATAGTTGTGTGCTTGCAAATTTGGTTATTATTTAAACCCCTGTCAGAGGTTGAAGAAGAAAAAACTCTCCCTATGATCAAGAAGATGGCTTTGGTACCATGTTAAGTATAGAGAGATTTAAGAAAAGTTGACAATATTATTCATTGCATTGAGGAGTTTATATACAAATAGATAGAGAGGTTCTAATAGCTTAGGCGATGTGGGACAAAAGTAAAGTAAAACAAGATATCCTAACTACTGTGAAGGTGTTTGGTGCAGCTCATTTTTGGCCAAACTA